ATCTTTTTTTTTTTGCGGACTGTACATGTTACAATGTAGTATATTTTATTTTATTTTACATTCTAACTGTTGATGTTTTATTTCAGTTAAAAGTCAACAATAGTTTCAATAGTTTTTTTTATATTTTAATTTTTAAACTAAGAATAAGTTTTTTTATAACTAATTTAGTAGTCTTTATAAAAATAATATTAAAACTGGCCATTCGAACTTTGACTGAAAGAACTTATGATTCCCTTTAAACTAAAAAGGAATATTTAGCCTAAAGTTTGTATATCATCTAGGCTCAAAACTAAAATGCTGAATGTGTCTTAAATTGAATATTTTTTAAGATTTTTTTTTTTTAAATCCTTAACTTAGTCGTTTATTTATAAAATTAATTAAAATATTAAAACAATGTATTTAAATCGATTAAATCAATTTATCAATTTTTTAGTGAAATAAATTATTCTTCCTAAGAATGCTTAAAGAAACTGGCTTAAATTTTTATCTAATAAAGTTTTTAAAATATGTGTTTCTGAAATGTCAAAATATTTTAAGGCATTTTATTTAATATATTTTGCAAGCTATGATTAGTCTTATTGAAATATTAAAACAATGTGTAGCTAAATTGATTGCATATTTCAATCATTTTTTAGTGAAATAAATTACAATTCCTAAGAATGATTTTAAAAACAGTAATAATAATAAAAAAAAGCTTAAATTTTTATCAAATGGAAGTTTAAAAATATGTGTCTCTTAACTATGAAAATTATCTAAGGCAGTGTTCCCCAACCCCCGGTCCGCGAACCGGTACCGGTCCGTAGATCAAATGGTACCGGGGCCGCCCATTTCATTGAAACTGAATTTAAATTCCTAGGCTTACACCCCAAATTAAAAACATCTGTGTTCCATTAAAACTTTATTTATTTAAAAAAAAAGGGCCCCCGAAGGTTGTGTCATAAATTTTTTAATGTTTGTAATGTATCATACTCTTCGATTACCCTCAGATGGAACCGTCTCATTGCAAAGAAACAAGCTCAGGGTTCTCATTGATTTAACGTTCTAGTAGGTTAAAATGTTAAATCACTTTAGATTTATTTTTTGGTGTAACTGTATTTTATTTTGAAGGCATGTTTAAATACAATTATATTAAAATTAATAAATCAAAATAATCAGAAATGTAAACAATCAACGCCTGCCGCCCCCCGCCAGCAGGCCGTGGTAAAATTATCAATCGTTGACAGGTCCGCGGTGATAAAAGGGTTGGGGAACACTGATCTAAGGCATATTATTGAATAAGTTTTACAAATCATGAGGAATCCTATTAAAATAATGTGTAGTGAATTTGATTGAATATTTTAATATTTTTTTAATCAAATAAAACTGCCTAAAAATGTTTAAAAAAAAAAATCCTAATTTTTTATCTAATAAAGTTTTACAAATTTGCGTTTCTGAACTGGTGAAATTCTCTAAAGCATTTTATTTAATATGCTTTACAAACTAAGAAAAAACATTGGACACATGAATGGAAGGACTTGGGACAATGTAATGACTAGCCAAGTTTTCAATTGTTTCTGGAAAGCATTTTTGGTGAAAATTTTTACCATTTCTATGTAATCATTAAGATAATTCTATTTATTGTGCTGCTATCAAGCGTTGAAAAGTATCTTTCTAGAAACAATACTAAAGAACAGTCTGGTGTAACAATGAAGGAAATGTGATTTATCATTTTTTTGTATTGTTCTAAGCCTTTCTAAGTGTTCTAAGCCTTTATTGTTCTAAGAGAATGTTGGTAAATTTGGCTAATTTTGTCAAATTCTAATAAAATATTGGTAAGTCCAATTTATTTTGTAAATGTAAATTAATTCTATCTAAATTTGTTAACAAAAATCATGTAAAATCTTTTTCTTTTTTTTCATATTTATTCTGTTTTATCTTATTATACAAAAGTTTATGTAACAACTTTTTATTAACACCTTCTCTATCAGCATTGCATCTCATACGTTTGGCGTTTTCGTGCCCGTATGGTCGGCGTCGCATGACATTCTAAAATTAGAAGAATTGTATCATTGAAATTTAATTTGTTGCTACTTACACATCTCCTAAAATTAATGTTAAGTTAAATCCTATGAATATTTTTTTAATTTCTTAATATTGCTAAGAGATAATGCACCTAGTCCCAGTTTTTTCACAGTTTTCGCAGTGAGATTTCCTGTATTGAATTGAAATCAAAATCCTTTTGTTCTTTCTGTAATTTCGCTTTTATTAATGTTACCGTTGCATCTCAAAATAGTTATGATGTATTTCGAGAGTGATTCTAAAACTGTTTTAACGGTAAGGTTGGAAAATTATTTTCCAAAATATTTTTTACCTATTTTTAATAATTATTTTATGCAGATATTTATCTCACTTTAAAGTAATAGAGTTAAAAATATGTTATCACTGTATATTTTTTTTAAAGATAAAACTTGGATGCATTGCAGGTAAAACTGCAGATCAGTGGACGAGATATCACATATTTCACTACTAATAAGTCAGGCAGAAAGACTGCTTGCTGACGAAAATATTTTGCATTTTCGAATGGATAAAACATATATTAAATTTCAGCAATAAAAAAATGCTATTTTTTTGGTCGGAAATAAAAAAAAAATAACCCAACAAAGTGAATTTACTGTTATGTTTTCTTAATTATGTTTTTTACATTTAAATATAAGATATTTTTATATCTTATATTTTATGTTTTGTATCTTATATTTTATGTATCTTATATTTTTATGTTATTTTTTTCTGCAACTTTAAAACTAATTTGTGTAGTAAAATATTCAAAAATCTTGTTTTTTCGCAATTAGTTAGGATCAAGAAAATTTGTAATAATGTTGAAAGTTTTCGAGAAGCTGTGGATAATTTTTTAAATAATTTGAGTAAAAATGATTTTCCTTTTAATTTTTGTAATGTTAATTTTTTAATTAAAAAAATGATTGATGGTTTTTA